TTTCTTAAGTAACTTATAAAGTTGAGTTAAACAAGTATTTTATGCTATCCTGGTAGACTATAGAAAAGAGCTTTCTTAAGCCAAAAAGTGCTAGCAGATGGGTTACTTCTCTTTTCTCTTTAAAGAGGCAAAACACTATGACTGACTAAAACCATAGAGTCATAAGAAAGCAGTCAACATGGTTTAAACAAAGAAATAAGGACTTTGGAGTCAGACAACCCAAGATTCAATTCTCAGCACCATCACTTGCCAGATGTACAATCTTGGGCAAAGTTCATTACAGCGATGCAGAGTGTCCTCATCTAAACTATGGAGGTAGTGATAATACGGAGCTCATACAGTGAATACTTGAATTCACACTCAGTAGTGCCTGGCACATAATCTAGGGTTTAGAGATATTAGTTCCCTTTGTGCCCATCATTCTGCCTGCTCCTTTGCCTCAGCTATTGGAGCGGGAAAACTGCAGAAGGATTCCAGTACATCTCAGTGGAGGCACAAAGCTCCCTAGTGAAATCTTACATCTACCCCAAGCACCTCCAGTTAGGGAGCCTAATGGAAGGAAATGCATAGATAGAGACCACTCAGGCAAAATATAAGTTTTCTCTCCCACTATCTCTCTCCTTTACAATAAACCCACAGAAGATGCCCTCTTCCCGAGCTTATGGCAACTGCTTTTTACATAAGAAATGCATTTCATAAGTCTTTATCTAATGCTGCTTTATAGATTTTAGTGACAAAGTATATTTCTTCACCCAGACACTCTATGGAGAATATTAAAAACAACCCTAATTTTTGAAACAAAGCCATTGGTATAATATGTTAGCATATAGGCCACGGCCACAAATAATTGTAGTCCACTGATGAAAATTAATCTCTATAGCCACATTACTCTTGACAGTGCCATAGTTTTTAGAGGAAACTGTTTTGTATATTTTAAAGCAGATGTGAATTTTTCTTGGGATTCGTTTGCACTTTTTAGTTAAAATCAGGATTCATATATGAAATGTGATGTATTGATATGCATATGAAAAGTAGCACTTCGTTTTTGTCCTTCTTTGTACAGGTTTCTCAGCTTATTCAATTTATGATTGAAAATTGCCGTGGGATATTTGGAGAAGAAATCTTTCCCTCTCGGGAGAGGTTTCAGTGAGATGCAACACTAAAGAGAATGCCTCAGGTATTGTGAATAATTGGGTTGTTTTTTGTGAGAAAGAGACACATGTCTGTGAAGATGCTGGGACAGTGGTGGTCCCAGAGCCCAGAAGCTCAGGTGAAGGGAGCCTCTGAGTTGAGTCATTGGGTCCAGGACTCCTTCCTGAGAAGGCCTGCTAATGTTCACACTGGTGGGGTTAAGAAAGGTATAAGGCTAGATGCCAAACTTCAAGAATTTGTTAGTGGTAGCATGATATATTATGATGGTTTTAACCTTTTTTTAAATAAAACTTTACAAGGAATGCTAATATACATATAGAACAACTGTAGTTAAAACTGGAATAGAAGACCCAGAGGCAGGCCTGGTCTTTTTCTTCCTCTCCTTCCTCTTAGTGGTCCCTGGGACACCTCAGAATTCTAGGGCACTTTGAAACAGTTTAAAAACAATTAGCATCATGGCCGAGGTAGGGGGGAGACTTGACATTTAACCTTCCAGAATATGAATTCCAATACGACCAATTACTAGTTAAGTTACCTTTGGCCAATTATTCTATGCCACTGAATATCAATTCTACATCTATGAAACATGGATAACCATAATGTCTAACTTTTATGGTTGTTTTAAAGATTAAATAAGTAATGGAAAAGAACTAACTTTGTCAAAGAGAAATTGATGGAATTAGTAAATGGTTACCCTGAGACTAGAGTTAATTATACCCATGTTAGAAGGAAGTCTTATTCAGAACCTAGGTGTACGTGGCACTGATTCCTTTATATGTTTCTTGCCATTTTTTGATGTTATGATGTGTCTCATTGCTTTGAGGAATATTACTTAAGAAAAGCCCATTTCTTCAGGAACTGAGATAATCTAATATACCATAACAATTTTATTTTACATTTTTGCTAACAATTGAGAAGTATGTGAAAGATCCCTTTTTTCTTGAGAGCAGGAATTTGAACATGAAAAGAGAATTAAACTAAGCACCATAATTTTTTCAAGTCGGCATGTATTGGTAAGAAACAATGTTAATCATGGTTTGGTTTTTTCGACAGATATCCCTTGCTTCCAGATGAATGACTCCTCCTATGACAGCTTAGAAAATGAGCTGAATGAGGATGTTGATGCTCCATGCAGTGATGTGATAAAGAAGCTTGGTCAAGGAAGCAGAAGCATGGACTCTGTATTAACCCTTAGTGACTATGACCTTGACCAGCCTGAGGTAGAAGGTCTTTTAACCCTGAGTGACTTTAATTTAGATCATTCTAAACATGAAGAATTTCAGATGGATCTTGACTTAGACAATTCTAAACATGAAGAATTTCAAATGGATCTTGACTTAGACAATTCTAAACATGAAGACTTTCAAATGGAACTTGACATAGACCATCCTAAACATGAAGATATTCAAATGGAATTTGACTTAGATCATTCTAAACCAGAAGACATTCAAATGGAACTTGATTTAGACCATCTTAAACATGAAGACTTTCAAATGGAACGTCCTCTTGAATCCAAACCAGTGACTGCTGTAGTACTATATGGAAACGCCACACTGCAGGGCCGTGCCAGGCCCTCAGCTAACATGAACACATCCTGCTGCCTGTCCACAGCTGCAGCAGATGGTCCAAAAAGCCCCAGGCGGGTCCGGCGCTGCTCAGAGCCCAGCACCAACTATGTAGATTCAAAGCTTTCCTTTCTCAGGGAGTTTTATCGGAAAAAAAAACTCAAGTCCAGCTATGATCCAATTCTCTCACAAGAAGATGAGGACTATCTGAAGCAGAATCAACCCCTACAGGAAGAGAGTAAGGTATGTTTGAGGCAGAATTTAGGCATAGGCACTGATATCAAGAAAAATGCCACTAATAAAATAGTTAAGAAGAAAAGCTCGTCAGGTAATGAAGGAAATCATGTGAAACTTTTTTCTAAATCCAAGCCAGTGGCCATTTCTGTGGCATCTTATAGTCACGTGTCCTCATATGACCATCCCAGGAATGTGCCATTTGATTCAGGTACATCTGGATACTCCCCAGCACACACAACAGATGCCCTCAAGAGTTCGAGGAGACACCGGCGCTGCTCAGAGCCCATCATTCATGACCAACACTGCAAACTGAGCCATCTTGGGGGGATTTATTCAAAGAAACAACATAAAACCAGCTATGAAGCTGATCACTTTGACAGAGAAGATGATTATCTCAAACGGCACAAGTCTTTGCAAATGGAGGGGCAAAAGCTCATTAATCAGAGTTTGGTCATGGGTATCGAGGTGGGCAAGAGTAGTGCCGTAAACCAAACAACCGAGAAGTTTTTACCCTCAAGCTTAAACACTTGCCCAAGCACTAGCTCTTCCAGTTTGTCCTCCCCAGGCACTTCTCCATCTGGCTCATCGGGGCGCTCCCAAGACAGTGCTTTTTCCCAGATTTCTGAACACTTCGTGTTTACACCCACTGATACTTCCTCACCAATCGATTGCACCTTTCAGGCTCAAAGAAAACAGGAGGAACTTTCTTCTGACCTTAGCAGTTCCAGCCTCATTTCTGGAATGCCTGGTCCCTCATCTAGACAGTCCAGCAACAACTTAGTTCATACAAATAAGGATACCATAGAGTGTCACTCACATTCTGTAACTCTTCACCCCATCACATGGTTAAGAAATGGCATGGCCAGTCTGAAAAACTGGTCCCTCAGAAAGAAACCAAAGGCATACGGACTAGAGGAAAAGAAAATAGTTTCTCTCAAAAGATTCACAGAGCCGCCTCCACATGCTTCTGGTGTTCCAGAAGCCAGGTCACTGCAAGAGAAAAAGGAAGATATTCCCCTAAGGGCAGCTGAAGAACTTGAAGCTGTGCAAGCAGCCGAGTGCTGTAGCTCTTATCCCAGCCAGGACTCAGAGAAATGCTTTAGCTCGGCACTCAACTTGGTGGAAGACAGCCTCAAGCTTTGTATGCAGTCACATGAAGAAGGACAGAGTAGTGGGCAGTGCTCTTCAGACACTCTGCCTTGTGTGAAATCCTCACCTTGCCCTTCAACTGAGTAATGCTTCCAGCTCAGACTGAGGGCTTATGGTCGTTTGTGATGTTGGGAACAGATACCTAACCAAAGACATTTAACCCACAATAAGAATCCAATGTCTACAAGAACAGAAACTGAGCTATAAAGGAGTTAGGTGTTGAACTCACATATTCACTTTTGGTCATTGAAAACAGTGACTAAAGAGTTTTTCTCCCTTTTTACTGTTATAGTGAATCATATAAACCTAATTGAAAGAAGAAAAAGCAGATTTAGAAAAGCCCATTCCAGAGGAAAAGAGCCAGTTTTAGTCTAAACTTTTTGCCAAATTGTCTCCATAAAGAAAATTCTTTTGTTGTCCTAAATATTAGCAATGATTATCTTTATGCTATTTTTTCCAGATATTTTATACAACAAGGTCATAATAATTATTGTCTTTATGTCCATTATTAGCTCAGTTTCTGTTC